TATCCACATTATATTTACCAAGCCTTGAAAACACTTGAACTTTCTTCAAGTGATTATTAAACCCCCTAACATTCCAGAAACAAACAAGCATTAAGTAGAAATAGAATTTACCTCCCCTCCAACAGCTCCCACAACAGAAGGTGCCACAACCTTATCCATAACATATTTCTTCTTGTTTTTCATTTCATTTAAAAGAGCAGTAACACCCATAGAAGTAGCTCAAGGTTTTCTAGCACCCTCTATACCAGAAGCTCTCACCAGCACCTCAAATCGTTTCGAAGAACCATCAAGTTGCTTTTTATCTTTACCTCTCCTTTTAGTTTTCTTCTTCTGTGAAGAGGCTTGTAAAATAGGAAAATCCTATATAGCAGGCAATAAAACATTTTCTTTAATAGCAACCATACCTACTGTAAACGCACAGGTGGCTTTAGATTCCTCAACCAAATCTGCAACTAATTCCTCCACCTGAGAGCTAACCCAATTGTCTAACCCCTCACCAGCAGAAGGACCAGGTTCTTGCAATACCTCAATTCCTTCTACAACAGCAGCTTCAACACTTTTATCCAATGAATCCCATTCTTCTTTCAAACATGCATCACAACCGGGGCAGATTTTTACACCTCTATACAACCTTTCTCCCTATGTCCAAAGACATTACATCTTGTACAACAAGAAGGCACCCAAGAAACCACAACCCGAATCGAAGTAGCTAACCCACCCTGCAATACTATATCTGCAAATTTAGGAATCGAACCTTCACACCAATTTCAACGCAAACCTTAGCATATTCCAACCTCGACTTAGAAGCAGTAACAGAGTCCATGGATAGAAGAACACCTAATGTACTTACTATGTAACTTAACCCAACTCACGAATAAAGCTCTAATGACACATTGTAGAGCTAAACCCAAACAAGAATTCTGGATAAATCAAAGTCTAACCGCTTTATATTCGGCTCCCAATTTCTTAAAATCAATGGCTTATTCTGAATATGCCATGTTCTATTTTCCAGAACCCAGCCGCGGGAAAATTCAGAGCTAAACGAAAAAACATATAGATTGCTACCAGCTAGGATAACCTGAACGCGAGAGCCCATCAAAGCCTTCTTCCATATATTATCAACAATTCACTACATAGAAACAAAATTCGGCGCAACTCCAAGAAATTACCCCACCAAGGACAACTTCCATTCAGAGATACCAACCTCATAAACCTTCAACGGAGGCTGAACAGATGGGGACCCCTCCCACCGGAGGAAAATACTCCAAAGCTTGCCCAGCATATCCCCCTAAGAGTTTCCTCCAATCCAACATACCAGCACTCATCATGAAAAGAGGACCAAAGAAGAAACGAGCAAATAAAGACCAATCAAAAACCACCAGAAACCATTGAAAACACACCAGAGATCCCATTAGCCCTACTAACGTGCACCCAGAGAAAACCGTTAATGCATCTATTTCATTTAATAAAGTTAGTTCATTTATTAAACTAAATCTTAAATTGTTTCATACATGTTTTCAATTAAAGATTGAATTTTTTTTACCTTTGTGTCTATGTGCCTGAGAGAAGTTGAACGGTTTCATCAGATGCAAGAATATAAGTCAGAATGTATTCCAATTATGGATGCAATACATATGTGTTTGGTTTCATAAATCAATTGGGAATTATTCCTATATCTCTTAGCTTTCCAAATCCTTTTGAATCACCTAAATCCGATATCGGGAGCTTAAGATATGATCAATTTATTGAAGACACTACAGGCTGAAATTTTGTTATGGGAATTTTATGAATGGATGATTTGGATGAGTTTGAGCCAAGGGAGAGTATTTTCAACTTTAGCCAAGTGACAAGACATTGAAGGAATCATAATTCACACATTCAAGGCATTCAAAGCTGATTGTTATCATCTAAATTCAAGGATTGTTCATATTCTTCAAGGGAGCATGCAATGAAACTGATTTAATTCACTTATTAAGACAATTTTCAGCATGGAATAGCAAACGTCTTCCTCCCCTTAGACGAAAATAAGGCCAAATTCAGCTTCAAATTGTCTAGATTCACCCCAAAATGATCTAGAATATTTATCCAACCTTGAAGATAAGAAGACAACATTCAAGTGCATTTTATTGTTAAATTGATGAGAATGTTTTCATCTTTTGAGTCTTTTCATATGTTGCTTAGAAATACTATAAATAGGCACCTTTTGGATCATTTGTACACACATTTAAATTTATAAAACATCTTTGAGAGGTTCCTTTCATTCTTATTCTCTTGTAGAACTTTATCGGCTTCAAGATAGTCTTGCAGTCTTCATCCATTTCCTTTTGTTATAGCGTTGGTTCCTAGCTCATCTATAGCTAGTGGGTCACGTTCCATATCCTACCACTTCTACCTTTCCACCTAATTATATTGTTTGTTCCTAACTCGTATATACTTAGAGGGTCACAATCCATCCTTTGAATTACTATCATTCTCCACGCCAACCACAAACATCCTTCACTATTTTCGTTACATCCATTCAACCACTATCACCACCACACTTTTTTCATTTACAATCCACTTCAACTTCATTCTATCATTTCCATTACTTTCATATACATATTTATATATACATATTTCCCTTCTTGTAACGTTGTTTTTGCATTTTCAGTTTTCAATCAAAGCACTGTGAAGTTCTTACTAGAATCACAATCGGGCACACTCATATATGACTCAGAACACATAATTGAGATCATATCATGAAATGTTCCTTTTACCAGCACGACAATCTCCTCAACAATCCTAGTAAAAGAAGCTCTTTCTTCCCCTCCCCTTTTCTTACTGCTCTTCCCCTTCTCTCTTCCCCTTCTCTCTTCCCCTTCTTTATTATTAAAATGACCTCTCTTATTCATAAACTACACCAAAGAAAAGGAGAGTAAAATTCTTTAGAAAAATGTTATCTCTTATTTTATAAAAAAGATTGAGGTATCGTTTGAAATTTAGATAAATTTATTTTGATAATTTTTTATTTCATTTTAGTTATTTAATATTTTTAATAGTTTAATTTTAATTAATAATTATTTTTATATTTAATATATATTATTTGTGTTATGAAATCTTTAATTTTACACAGATTTAGGACTATTGGATCAGTGAAAATAGATGATTGATTTCTTTTTTTTAGTGATTATCTACTCATTTCTCATTGTTAAACTCAATTATTTATTTTCACTTATCCTACAGTTCTAAATCTATTTAAAATTAAAAGATTTTTACATTGTATAATAGGATATTATCCTATATTATTTATATATAATATATAATTTATAAATATTTATAGTTTATAATTATTTTTGTTCGTTGCCTAAAAAAACAAGATGTGGCCGTCAAAGCTCGTTGACAGCTTAATATGCGCCCTCAAACCAATTAATAAGGACATCATTTTGTAATTTTTGATCATTGAAGGTAAGGGTAGAGATATTACATATTATTTTTTATATAAGAAAACAATGATTGAAAAACGTGTTAAAAGGAAGAAGAAAATGTATCATAAAGATAAAGGAAAACATGTCATACAATCAGACTTATTGAAAATAAAAAACAAGAGAAAATAAAAGGACAATTAAGAATACCGACGACCGACAATCAACATTAAAGTTGGTGTCATCACCGATCGAAAAAAAAGAAAAAATAGATGAAAGCCTTACCAATGAGAGAAAACTAAAAGAGAAAACTAGTGAAGAATAAAAATAACTCAATGTAATATATTTTTAAGTACGAGACTCAGAATGCAAACGTATTATTTATCTTTTTCTAAGGGTTGTTTAGACATTGCTACAACTGATCAAGATGACGTTTATCTATTATATTATTTATCTTCCCTACTTTGGACCCTCGAATTGAATTTGGATACCTATTATGCTTTTGTGGATAGCTTTTCACGTCGCTCGAGTCTGATTTACGGATTATCGATGGTCTTTCAATAGTTTGATCCTCTTTTGTTGTTCGTTTACCAATGCGATCAGATCAGTTTGTGTCTATCTTTGTTTGAGTTTCTTGGTTAGATTTTAATCTTTTCTTATATGGTCCTTATGTGATCTTAAGTTGCTAATTTTGTTTAAACGATTACAAGAAATTGTCCTAATTATATATTTAATTTACGATTATAATTGTAAATTTTTATTGTAATTTAGGATATTTCTTTTTTTTTAATAAAATTAGTGATTTATTTCCAATTTTCTTTGATATGTATTATTTTAAACTAAAGTTAATATTAGCGTTGAATTTAGAAATATTATTAAAGGTAAGTACGCTATATTAATAGTACGCTATATTAATAGTACAAAAATTTTATATGACAAATACAAATAAAATTTTAAGATGATCACATTTAATAAAATATATAATTATTAAAATAATTCAGATTTGAGGATAAATATTTCCCTATCTTAATAAAACAAAGTACTCACCTTCATCACTTCTTTTTAAGTAGTCTGATAGTTATAATATATTATTTATTTATAATTTTACTTAATTATTGTTGATATATATATACATCCTATACATATAATTGTTCAGATTTAAAATTTTAAAATTATAATATTTTCTTTAACTATTGATATAATTCGTTGAGCGATGGAAAATGGGTTCTGTGTTTTTATATTACCCACCGTTCGCTGAAATCAATCAAATCCATCTCCGATCAACACCCTCCTATGATTCCGATTTATTCTTTTGGATATTAAATTATATATTAAATCTAAGAATAAAGAGACTAAAAAGTTAAATATGAACTTTCACCCATTAACTTGAAGTATACAAATTTTAGGTTAAAGTAGGCTGAATAATTTTTTCGAGTTACAATTTTATAATGTTATTAATAAAAAGATTCAACAAAGTGATTTTACATAATTAAGTGATATTTTATAATTTTTATTATTTGGAGTACTTTTATAAATAGTATACTTTATGTATAAATAGAAATATTTAAAATAAAACTTCTAATGTAATTAAGCTCAAAGTCAAGCACACTAGTACACTCTTTTTCAGCACAGACAACGCTACTGATGATAAAGATCATTAAAAGAAAAACACCCAAAAGCAACTCTACCGTGGCCTAGCCCTATGATTCAACAACATCTCCCGGAGCTCCACCGCATCGATCTCATCCCCACTGTTCTCCGGCCGGTAATACCCCGTCACAGGATCAGGCGCCCAAGCAGACGATACCTTCGTCTCCATCATAGAACCTTTCATCGTATCTCTTCCTTCCACTTTCCCCATCATTCCAGCCCTACCGAAGCCAGTCGTCACTGCCCCCGGCGGTGGCGCAGCCGAGTGACCCCTCCTTTAAACCCAAACCCAAATCATTAACAATAACAAAAACACATATAATACCAAAAACTATCCTCAAAACGGAGAAAAAACAGAAAACTCAGTCAATCACCTTGACATGGAGACATACAGGCCATCGAAAACAGAAGCACCGAGGAGCTTGAAGGAAGAAAGAGAACGAGCCATTTATTAGTACTTATATATATGTATATTGATATAGGTTTAGCAGTAAAAAAAGGTTTTATATAAAGGTATTAATTAGCTACTGAAGAAGCAATTCTTCTGTAGAAGAAAAACTCCCACAGTAGCTTAGCTGTGAGAACTGAAGAGGCTCTGGTTGTCTTTTTTGCTGGCTTTTTTATTGGCGAAGAAGACGGAGATTAGGGTTCGAAGGAGTGTGTATTTATAGTGTAGGAGAGGGGCAATGTTATTGGTTGGGTTGGGCCTGTTTTTTTCAACTGAGTCGTGACTCGTGATTTCGTAGAGGTGACACGCGTTTCATCGTAACAGTTGGAACTTCAATAATGGTGTCTTTGTTTGGACCAATCCAATTGATGTTGAAACGATAAGGATCTAAATTGTTTATTTTGAATATTTAAAAAAAATTAGGTAGATTGGTCTTATCCTTAGATGTTACTTTTTTCTAATTAATCATTTTTCTAATTAATCATTAGGGTATGATATTTTGACAGATTAATTTATATCGAATATTATTAAAACGATAACGAACCTCTCAATTTAATTTATTTTATTTGTAAATTACATGTTTCAAATATTTGACTTTACTTAAAAGAATTTTGTTATCTGTACTACATAGTTGCTGGTCCTTATATGTTCTTTACTCATTAATAAATTAGTTTATTTGCTTTTTCTTTTAATTGATAGAGCTTTTAAGGATAAGTCTAGAGTGTATATCGTACATCAAAATATACTATTAATGTAATAGATTGATACACACCAATAATTAAATTATTATTATTAAATAAATATTAAATAATATAATGACATATCCACAATTAATCTGTTATTATTATTTAATTTAAAATTTAATAAGAATATAATTAATTTATATTTTTATTAAAAATTTATAATTATTTTAGTATTTTCTATTTGTTTAGGATTGAAATACTTAATTCATATAAATTTGCATATTCTTCCCAATAGCAACCATCAAACTAACCGTCAACGATCCTATTTATTGTCGAAAAATCGTGTTACTTGTGGTTATGTAGTGTCATCTCCACCAGGCTCTTCCCAAGATCATGTAAATTTTTTTAACAACTGAATGTTAGTTTATTGGGTTGTTAAAATAATTGTTGATAATTTTTTATTTATATGTAATTGGAACTCCTGTTTTGACCAATGTTACGTGCTTATAGATTCATCCTATACAAAGACACAATCTTCAACTCATTTTATTGGAACTAGTTTCGAAAGTGATTTTGTGCATTCACCACCAATGATGGCAGAACACGACGGTTTATGCAATTTGAAGTCATTGTTTATATATGAAGAATTAACCGAGGCTACGAAATTTTTTTAGACCGTAATCTTTTCGGTGAAGCTAAATTTAGGGTTGTTTATAAAGGTTGCTTACAAGATGTAAGAGAGGTGGTTATAAAACAACTAAAAAACAATGGAGACAGGGTAAACGAGAATTTAAAGTTGAGGTTGAAGAATATGATCTTCCGACGATGAATAAGATCGTCGACGGTTGATTCTGATGATTGTTATTAGGATGAATATGTAAATTTATATAAATTAAGAATTCCAATCATAAACAAACAAAAATTCTTAAAATAATAATAATTTTTAATAAAAACTATAATTTAATTATATTTGTATTAAAATTAAAATTAAATAATAATAAATGATTAATTATGGATAGATCATTATATTTTTTTTCATATTTATGTAATAAGAACAATTTGGTCAGTAGTATATATCTGTGTATCACATTAATAATGTGTTTCGGTGTGCATTTATATTTTTTCGCTTTTAAGATAATATTAAATTATTTTTTTTTAGATATTTTTAAAAAAGACGCCATTTTATTTTATTTTTACATTATCTTTATGAGCTTGTCGTGTAATAACAAATATTTTGTTTAATAAAGAAATCAATATAAGGGTAAATTACAAATTTCATCATTGAGCTTTACTCCTTCTCATATTTTGATCACTAAACTTTAAAAGTTTTCAATTTCCTCATTGAACTTATATATCGGGTTTTTTTGTTCACTCTACCGTTAAATAGTTAACAGTGTTAAAATGACGTCATTTAATAAAAATAAAATTTTCACAAAAACGACATCGTTTAAGGGGATAGGTTTGGGGATAGGAAAGAGTCGAGTTGGGTTGGGTTTTCAGTCAATCCGATCTGAACTGAAAATTATACGTCCTCTATTCGACCAAACTCGACCTGGAAATATATACCCTCCACCCGACCGAACATTTTGAGATAAAATCTGAACCTGACCCGAAATAATATATTTATTAAAATAATATATAGAGGGATATTATTACAATTATCCCTAAATATATAAGGTAAAATTATATTTTTCGGATTAGGTTGGGTAGGTATCTTTCACCCTAAACCCAACCCAAACATAACATGTAAATAACCCGACCCGACTCAAACCTAATTTTTCTTTAAAAAATTCGACCCGATCGGGTCGAATCAGATCATAACCCGTCGAATTCGGGTCCTGTCCCCATCCCTAGATATGTTTCTTCCAAATGGCCCAACAAATCCACAAAGCAAGCCTTGTGACAAATTTTTTTGAGTATTTATTAAGTTGAATCGAGTTAAATTTTTTAAATTAATTTAGTTAATGATTTTTTTTGTAATTTAATTTTTAGTCAAATTGAATTTATAGAATTCGGTTTGAGTTGAGTTGTTTGAGTTTTTTGTTTAAATTTAATTGTGAATGTTTACAATGTTATGGTATTAGTTGATTTAAATTTAAAATGTTATCTATAACCATATACAATATACATATATATTTCTTCATAATTTTGCATATGCAATTTACATATATCATGCATAATTGATAGATTTGGCTCGAACTTAAATATTATTTCACTAAATATTAAATTTTTTGTGTTATTTAAGTCATTTTTTATAGCTCAAATTTTATTTAAAAGCTTTTCGAATAAAATTTGTAAAATTATAAATCGAATTCCACTTAACCTTTTATGTATTTCTCGTACTCCTAAAACCATTCACTAAACCTAAGTAGTTAAGGGGTTTGTTGTTATCTATTGAAGTCTAAGGTTTGAACACCGCAAATATCAAGAGTATGAGTGTTTATTGCTATTTTGGTCTCTCTATGATGGTATTTATTATTTTATTATTATTTTTCCTATGTCATATTTTATTAGTATTTAATTCGTGTAGGATTTAAAATAAAAAAAATGAAAAACCTTAATCCCAATCTCAAACCATAATCTATAAACCTTAATTACCAAATCCTCAACATACAAACCTCAAACCCAAAATTTCACTCACATCGACCACACACTCATCAATCACACCTTTATCGGCGGCATCATCACTTAACCTAAACTAGAAGCCAAACCCTTCAAACTCCCATAATACCCAACCCATAACACACCCCAAACAGCTTTACAAGATCAAGGGAAAGTGTTCATAGTAACGTGAGGCGTCGAGGTGTGTGTTGGGTTTAACACATGGAAGCACTTGAGAGAAAAATGAGAAGAATGTCTTACCTGAGGTGTTAGCAGCAACTGACGGCTGACAATAGAGAGTTCATCAACCATTTCACGACGGTATTTGTTGAGTGTTTTGGTGGAAAAGAAAGAAGAAGTGATTAGGGTGAGGTCGTCGATGGTAAGGGTGAGGTAGGGGATGTGATTTGGGGGTGAGGTCATCAATGAGTCATCATCCACTAGTGTGAGGGTAAAATTGTCGAGGATGATGGTGCGGTGGGATTGTAATTTTGGACTTAAGGTTTAATTTAAAGATTAGAATATGATTTGAGGGTTTAAGGTTTGGATCTAAATTTTAAGAGAATAATTTAAGGATTTTATATTTATTTATTTATTATTTTCATATGTGGCATTTAAATACTAATGAAATATGCTACGTTATACAAAAATACTAACAAAATAATCAATGTCGTTATACAGTAATCAAAATATGAGCATAAAAGTAGAGTGATAAAATTACTTTTTTTTTAATTTTAATGAATCAAAGAAGAGTAAAAAAATAATTGAGTGATGAACGATATTATTTTATCTTATTAATAAATAAATGGTGGTGGATCTACTAAGAGTCTCACTAATCACATTCAATAACAACCCTAAAATGGAGGCAACAGTTTAAGAATCATAAATAATGAGTTGATGATTTGAGATAGAGGTTTCCCTAAAGTTACTCGGTTGTTAAGAAGCATGTTTTCATTTTGTAATAGTATGCTTTTTAATGTTTCAAGTATTTTCATATATGATCTTTGATATTAGAAACATTTAGGAGTTGATTTAGTAGCTTAATTATGTATGTTCTAGTCTAATTATGCATGACCCTATAGAAAGGATTGATCCATTGAAGCATTGGAGTAATGCAACGACTACTGTCTTAAAAAGGATTGATCTCTTTGTCAAAAGATCAACCCCTTAGTGAAAATGATTGATCTCTCGGATTTCAGATTCGTAAAAACTGTTTTTAAATTACCATTATGTTTTTAGTTTCATGTTTAAACTAGTAATTTCAAAAATTCATGTTAATTCTGAAATTAATTAATATATTACGGTTTAGTCCCTAAAATACTTTATGTATACAATTAAAGCCCAAAATGATGTATGTTTTAGCTGAGATTTTGCATTTTACCTGAAAGCATGTTGAAAAGAAGTATGATGATTTAAATTTTAAGTTTTAGCAGGATTTCATATGATGTATATAAAAAGACAAAAATACCCCTAATCATATAACCTGATTTAGTAGGACTTTCGCACGATCAAAGTTTGCTCTTGGTTAATTAGTGTGTTTGATTTCTTTTTTCTTTTGTATGATTATATGTGAAATTTTTTGTTGTGTTAATAATGCATTGAATTTAATATTTTGTTGTGAATTTGTACCAGATCACTTTGATGATTAACATGGCATTTGATATTTGAGTCGGGCCGCCTTCATCAAGTATAAGGGGTTACATCTATTAATCTTATGTACAATCTTTCTTTGGTTAATATTTTGTTTCATTGGGTCAGCTGGAAGAAAACATGTCCTTATATAGGACTTTAATTACATCTCACAATACAATCACTACAATAAAACAAGTTTTTAATGACTTTTTTAGATCTATAGCGGCGTTTTTAAGCATCGCTAAAAACACTACCGGTTCTAAAAGTGCCAC